GTTCAATGCATCAAATCTATTCTTTAGATGGTTCCTAAATTCAGGAGAGATATATTCAAGATCATATTTTGGCTCTCATGGACTTGTTTTAATTGTCTTTAACTTCAAGTTGAACTTGCATTTGAGCATTTGATGGTCTGTCCCACAATCAGCTCCTGGCCTGGTTTTGGATGAAGATATTGAGCTTTTCTATCGCCTCTTGCCACAGATGTAGTCACTCTGATTCCTGTGTGTTCCATCTGGCGAAGTCCATGTGTACAGCCACCATTTGTGTTGTTGAAAAAATGTATGTGCAATGAGTAAGTCGTTGGTCTTGAAAAATTCTACCATGCAGTTTCTAGCATTATTTCTGTCACCAAGGCCACATTTTCCAACTATTGGTGATTCTTCTTTGTTTCCAAAGAAGAGAGGATATGTAAAGGGGTGGGGGATTTCAGGTGAGAAGTGTGAAAGGGTTTTATTGATTTTAGTTGCAGAAGAGTGGGATGAAAGATGTTGTACAGTCTTGATCTCAGTAAAGTACGCATCCAGACTGGCCATGAAGAAAAGGAGGTGGGGTGTGAGCATTTGTGGTCCCTATGTGGTGTAAATGGAAAGATTGGTGGCTCAAATCCATCCAGCAAGCCCCATGGAGGAAAGACCTGGCAATGTCCATAAGCTCACAGCCAATAAAAGCCATATGGAGTGCAGTTCTATGCTGAAACACATGGCATCACCATGAGTCAGAATCGACTGGCCAGCAGTGGGTTATGAGCCTTTAAGTAAACCCCCCCTTTACATATCCTCTCTTCCTTCCTTCTGGATTCAGAGAAGAGATTCACTCTTGTCAGTGGCCAGAGGCGACCAAGGTCTGTGGGACTGATGCAGGCTAATAAGAATGTAGTAGGAGGTAGAACCACCACTTACCAACTTGTACTGTGGAATCTGCCACAAAGAAGAGAAATACTTCAAAGTGGTTGAGTGGCATGTTGTCTTCCTTTGCCCAAGCTCCTTACAAAGCCAAATCATAAGTTAAAGCCATTTTTGGTATACTCTGATTAATCTCTTTCAGAGACACTGGAGATAACCAAAGTCAGAGGTTTGACATTTTAAGGATGATGATGATGACGGTTAAAATGAGTTGTCTTGGTGCCTCTGGGGTGTTTTTTCCATGCAGAAAAGACTATCAAAAGTTTGCTTTTAGTTTAGTCTAGAAGTGAAACATTTGCAAAGGTCCAGCAGAAAGTTCGCTTTTAGTTTGTGTAGAAGTGAAGTTTGCAAGGTTCCAGCAAACCACAGCTATTAGACTTAAATAGTCTATTGCCTGCTTTTGTAAGGCCTATGGGCTCAAGTACAGCAAGGATTGTGAGGCTGGCACAGGACCGGGCAGCATTTTGTTCTGTTGGACACAAGGCTGCTATGAGTCAGAGCCGACTCGAAGGCACCTAACAACAACAACAACATCTAACAAAATTAACAACAAATTTTTTATATAATCTAATACTCTGGTGACCTTCCTGTTTCTCCATCTCAAAACTATCCTTTTATAATTTATCCCATTGGAATCATGAAGCTATACATTGCATTTGTCTGGTATGTCTGTAAATTCTTTTAATCTAAACAAATCTCCCAATCCTTAAAGCCATTGAAATGCTGAAGAAACCAAGCCATTTATTACTTCCCACGTTCTGAAGTTGACTGATGGCTTCCCGGTGGTATGATATCTGTAGGTTCTGCTATCTCCTATATTTCTGGTGACAGGTTTGTTTAGATTCAGATTCTACTACTATTATAATAGAATCCTTCGTATTCAGTCAAGAATACTTCTTGGGTGGTAAATGTATTTTTGAACTAGCAAAGACCTTTGAATTTGATGGAACCTTGCATTATTCTGTATCCCTTGAATATTTAAAGTGGTAAAATGATTTAAGTCTGAATATCTCACACGGCTTTCAGTCAGACTTGCAGTCCCAACTCACATAAATGCCTTTTATTTGGTGCTCTCCATGTGCAAGGCACTGTGCTAAGCATTTTACACAAAAGCTCATTTAATCTTCTGAACATTTGGCAGGTCAAAAACCTGAAGCTTATAAAGTTTGAGGTGACCCAGTTGGTAAATAATGATGTGCGTTCAGTGCTTGCGGTGGAATCCCAGCACCAACTTTCTAGTACCGTTGTGTTCTGTACATTTCCTTCTTCCGTGCTTGCATTCTTCCGTGGTTTTCATAGTGCCGTCGGGTCCCAACTGGTAGGAAATGGTCCCGCCCCGCCCCGCCCCGCCCCAGGTCAACCGGAGCGAGGGCCTGCGAAACCACACTTCCCAGAATGCACCGCACTCGCGGAAGTCGCGCCGCCGATGTTTGCTCTCAGGCGCCATTTCTGCAGAGAGGAACGACGGCGCGGCCTGTGATCATGGCGCTGTTCCCAGCTTTTGCGGGTGTTAGGGAGGTTGCCGACAGTGGGACCTCCAGGAAAGGTAAGCGCGCGACATGGCTGAAGGAGGCACTCGGCGGGCTTAGGATGCAATTTCTCAGCGTCCAGTTCTCGCCCCTGCTTTGGATTTGTTTATCCACTTGTATCCCAGAGGTCTCCGCGGCGCCGCAGTGCTTCCTGGGAAGGGCTCCTGGCCTCCCTTCGACTCCTGGTGGGGTCCAAAGGCGGGGGTAAATGGTTAGAGTAGGAGTTAAAGACGAGAGAGGGGTCCTGGAGCTTGGACGCGGCTATTACCGTATTGTGGGAACCCCACCCCCACCCCCGCAACCCCACTCTTCCTTTCAGCCTCTGTAACTTCACTTGTAAAATGGCCATAATGGTACTTCGCATCTCAAGAAGACCCCTGATGTCAATGCTTGGGTGGTGGTTTCTTCCCGAACTGTTTCATTTATTCCTGAAATGTTTATCAGGTTCGTGTCTTGTGGCAGGCCCTGAGCTAGCGGATTAGAAAATAAAGCCGGGTGATACAGTTTTTGCTTTCCCGAGGGACACAGCTCCTAGGAAAAAACTAAAAAAACAAACAAAAAAACCCAAACTCACTTGTAACGTTTATTTATCGAGAGCCTGCTGTGTGCTAGGTTACGGCAGCGTTATGTTTTATTCAAGCCTTAAACATGCCTAGGATGTCTGCATTGTTTAGAATCGAGGCACATAGTGATAAAGTAGGAAGAAAACGCAGCTTTAAAATGAAAGTCTCCAGTCAGGCACGTTGTGTGGCAACACCAGTTGGTCTGACGGTGACACCTCTGTTGTACCCTCTCAGAACTTCTGCGCCTCCCTCTGTTTATCCAAATAGTAAGTTCCCATGTAATTAGTGGAATATTAGTATGTGCTTGTTAGTGTTACCTCCCTGAGGTCAGGGACCTGTTTTTCTGTTTGTTTTTTGTTTTTTATTGCCCCTTACTAGCTTTGTGGCATTGTGCCTAAGGCATTTGATTGCTAACCAGCAGGTTGGTAGTTCGAACTCACCCGCCACTCCACAGAAGCAAGACTGGGCAGTCTGCCTCTGGGAACATTTACCACCTTGGAAACCCAGTGGGGGTCTCCATGAGTTGGAATCAAATTGATGGCAGTTGGGTTTTTGTTTTTGTTTTTAATGCCAGCACAGGACCAGAACATAATGTTGTTAGGTGCCGTTGAGTCGGCTCCGACTCATAGTGACCCTGTGTACAACAGAACGAAACGCTGCCCGGGCCTGCGCCAGCCTCACAGTCCTTATGGTTGTAGCCACTGTGTCAGGCCATCTCATTGAGGGTCTTCCCCTTTTTCACCGACCCTCCACTTTACCAGGCATGATATTCTCCAGGGAAGGGTCCTTCAGACAACATGAAGGACCAAAGTAGGTGAGACAAAGTCTGGCCTTCTTGCTTCCAGGGAGCATTCCAGCTGCACTTCTTCCACAACAGATCTGTTAGTTCTTCTGGCAGCCTGTAGTGTCCAGTTATATTTGTAGAATGTACAACCCTTGTTGTGTTTAATAGCTACTTTGCTTTTGGGCCTAAAAGCCATCCAGGACTGATTGCATCTGTGTTCTGCCTCACCTGTTGTTGTTGTTGTTACATGCCCTTGAGTCGGCCCTGACTCATAGCGACCCCTCCTTGGGTTTCCGAGGCAGTTATCACTTCGGAAGTAGGATTGCCCAACCTTCCTTCCGAGGAGTGGCTGGTGGGTTTGAACCGCCAGCCTTCTGGTTAGCAGTCAAGTCCTTAGGCACTATGCTACCAGAGCTCCTAGAATCGTTCATTTCTCCAAGGAATTCTGGTTTCTTTTAGTAGGAAATGGTATAGATATGTCAGAACCACAGACTGGTGCTAGGAGTACTCGTTGCTACTGGGCTATCATCCCTTACAGACTGTTTCAGCGGACAGAACCAAGAAGAGAAAAATATATCATGAATTCGTATTTATATTTCTAATTAAAATGTACTATTATGAGGTTTTTACTTCTTTGATTTAATACTTGTATTTCTTTTATGTTGAAAATTGCCATTAACAACATGATGTATATGTTCGAAATAACTGTCAATAATGCTAATAGGTTAACATTTTTTATGATTCTTTTTATTCTTAGCACATACCCCACAATGGATGTACAGTCAAATTACTGTTTTACAGTCACTTGAAATAATTCTGTGTGGTTTTGCCACCAATTTGTTATGCAATTAGGTTTATTCCATTTTGTTTTCAACTTTCAAGGATTGCCTTTTACTTTTAATTTAATTTTGTCTTAAAAACAAGCAAACAAACAAAAAACCCCAAACTCCCTGCCATTGAGTTGGTTCTGACTCATAGCAAGCCCTCCTTGGGTTTCCAAAGCAGTACCTCTATAGAAATAGATTGCCCAGTCTTCCTTTCAAGGGGTGGTTGGTGAGTTTGAACCACCACCCTTCTGGTTAGCAGTCAAATACCCAAAGTAAAACATGTACATATTTCCGGAGTCAGGTCTGTCAGAGAAATAAAGCTTCCATTTCTGTTCATCCAACTATTACTTCCCTTCCATACTAATTTTTATAGTCACTGGTATGCTTCCTTTTTTGTTTGTTTGTTTATATTAAGTAAATTTCCCTCCTCTTTCTTTAATGCAAATGATTGTGCATTTCATCTTGTTGTTAGATGCTGTCCAGTTGGCTCTGACTCACAGTGACCCTAGTAAAACAGAACGAAACACTGCTGGGTCCTACGCCATCGTCATAGTCCCTGCTATGCTTGAGCCCATGATTGAAGGCACTGTGTTGAGGGTCCTCCCCTTCTTCACTGACCCTGTACTTTTCCAAGCATGATATCCTTCCCCAGTGAATGGTCCCTTCTGATAATATGACATCTGGCCATTCTTACTTCTAAGGAGCATTCTGGCTGCACTTATTCCAGGACAGATTTGTTTGTTCTTCTGGCAGTCCACAGTACTTTGAGTGTTCTTCGCCAGCACCACAACTCAAAAGCATCAACTCTTCTTCGGTTGTCCTTATTCATTGTCCAGCTTTCACGTGCATATGAGATGATTGAAAATACCATGACTTGGGTTAGGTACACCTTAGACTTCACAGAGACATCTGTGCTTGTCAGCACTGTAAAGAGGTCTGCAATTGCAGCAGATTTGCCCAGTGCAATATGACATCTGATTTCTTGACTGCTGCTTCCATTGGGGGAAATCTGGTAGTATAGTGCTTAAGGCATTCGACTGCCAACCAGAAGGCTGATGGTTCAAACCCTCCAGCCACTCCTCGGAAGGAAGGTTGGGCAATCTACTCCCGTAGTGAAACTGTCTTTGAAACCCAAGGAGGGGTCGCCATAAGTCGGGTTTGACTCAACGGCGGTGATTTTTGTTTTTGTTTTTGTTTTTGTCTTCCATTGGTGTTGATAGTAGATCCAAGTAAAATGAAATCCTTGACAACTTCAGTCTTTTCTCCATTTATCATGATGTTGCGTATTGGTTCAGTTGTGAGGATTTTTGTTTTATTTATGTTGAGATATAGTCCGCACTGAAGACTATAGTCTTTGATCTTCATCAGCAAGTGCTTCTAGTCTCTCACTTGGATTTCGTCTTAAATCCTAGGGCCCCCGTACAGCTGAATGTAGAGTTCTTCATTTCTTTTTACTGCTGCACAGAACTCCATTGGGTATCTGTTACATATGTTATCCAGTTGGCCTCTGTTACAGACATTTGGATTGCTTCTGGTCATTTGCTCTTATAAATAGAAGCCATGTTCTTTTTACTGTACAGTGTAAAATGTAAAAGTGTAAGATAGTGTTAGTAGTAGTGGGTGCAGATTTTCATTTAAAAAAAACGAAAACATTAAATTCCTGAACAGGAAAGATAGCCAGTACCAAAATGAGTGTGAGAGGTTCTGTTTCCCACTCTCTGGGTTCTGTTGCGAGTTAGGCCGTGATTAGAGTAGGCATCATTCAGTGGGGCTTTGTGCTCAATTGAGCGGAATTATGTTTTTCTACATGCAGGTCTACAGACTTTCCACTGTGTGAGGGGCAGCCCCAAGTGGCTGATCATGCCCATTCTTGAACTTTTCCTACCTACATCATCAAATTGGAAGGAAGGTTGGGCATTCCTACTTCCGTAGTGATACTGCCTCGGAAACCCAAGGAGGGGTTGCTATGAGTCGGGGTCGACTCGATGGCATATAACAACAATAACAACAACACATCATCAAATTGTTTATTAGCATCGTGTGCACTTCAGGCCACCTGGAGTCAGAATTGACTCAGTGGCAACTAACAACAGCAACAACCCTAAACTTTGTTCCTTGGAAGCTAAATACTTTGACAGAGTTAGGATGAAAGAAGACATATCAGCTCATTTATTCCTTATAACAGCTTAAGAGGCAGGTGTGTTATCCATATTTGGGAAGAAACTAAACTCATTAGCTATTAATCCCACACACACCCCCAACCTGCTCTTCTTCCTGTGTCCATGTGTGAGAACACGGCACCACCGTTCACCCAAGCCAAAGATGGAGCCACACACTTCACCCTCCCCATTGAGTTTTCATCCAGTCCTTCTAAAGAACTCTTAAATTCATCAGTTTCTTTCTATTCTCAGGTCTTCTCCCTAATTTTTGTCACTATCATCCCCTGGATTACTACAGCAGCCTCCTAGACAGTCTCCCCATCTTCAGTCTCACCTGCCTGATTCTGGCTGCACAGTGCAGCCAGAATTCTGAAATGTATTCATTTATAAGAGCATTGCCATTCACTGGTGTAACTGCTTTCTGAAAACTAGCTCATGACAGCCCTAAGAGGTAGGCATTATTACCTGTATGTTTATGGAGGTGGAAACAGCACAGAGCCAGTAAGTAACTTGTCCCATGTCACCTGCCTGGGAAGTCACAGAGCCAGGATGTGCACTCTGGTGGTCGAGCTTCAGAATTTGTGCTCCTAAACACTGCTCTTTGCCGGTGGTTTTTCAAATACTGGTTCTGGTTTTTTCACTCTTGCTCCATACTCTTGAGCATCTTCCTATTGCTCTCAGGGT